ATAAAGAAAGTGCGCACTGACTTTTGGAAACTTTTGGAAAGCTTCAAAACTAAAGAGCTTAGGAAAAGTAAATAAGGAATAGAGGGTGAGTAAAGCAAATCAAAAGGGAATAAGTAAACTATAACAATAACAAATATCCCACTATAACTACCCCTCCCCCCCAAAAATACATTATTCTGGGGGCCTTTATAAATCTGTGCAGGAAAAAAAAGTCATTATTCTAGGGGCGTTTATAAATCTGAGGTCAACATTGGTGAAGAACGATGTTTGTTTGCCTAGGAATAGGTTTAATGATGTCCGATGCAACTTGGATTGGAGAAGGGAGTTCCTAAGGCAGGCTGTTTGGCCTTTGTCATTCCAGGACTAAAGCGATGTGTTCCAAACACACAATTTGCATTGTTTTCAGCCAACTGCTTTCAGTTCACGCAAGGCTAGCGTGGTGACCCAAAAGTAAAGGAGCAAATGGAGCTAACCCTGGTGAGAATGATGCGGGCGATGAAGTGGCAAAAGACCCGGAGGAGGAAGAGGGGGAGCATGATGGCAAAGTAGAGGAAGCAGAGTACTGGCTTGGCAGCCTTTTATAGTAAAGGCCTGAAAGGTACTTTTCACGCGGTGAGTGAAATGAACTGATGAGACCCGGAACTGTTTGCGCACAACAAGTGGAAAAGGTGTGTGAGCGAGCAGCCATCCCAAAGGGATTGCAAAGAATTGATGATGTTTAAAGTTGTGCGTTTGGTTGCAGTGGAACATTTACAGTGGGTGTTATTTTGCGAAGACAAGAAACCAAACATAGCTTTCATCAACACCCAAGGACTAAACAGGACAAAGGGGGGCACAAGTTTGCTCAGCTACCAAACAGTTTTTCCGGCCCAAACGATGCTCAAACCCAGGAGTGGAAATGACGGTACCACATCACAAAGTTCACCAGGTCTGAGTCATGGTTTTTACTTCACTCCTTCACCACATCAGAAACCCGTCACTTCACTGGAAACTCAGACAGTCACCAGCGTAAATCATACCACGGTCGTCTCATCACAAACTGCCCCACCAGATTTGAATGACAAGTAAGGGAAGCACACAGACCCAGTTACAAAACCCATCCCCAGTTGCAAGGGGAATTGTTTTATGTGTGTGCGTGTGTGTGTGTGTCCACCCCTGGACAAAGGGTTTTCCACCGCCGCTTCCTTCACAGATTTTCCACCACCTTTCACATGCAGGGGCACTGAGCACTCCTTGGCAAACTCAGTGCAACGAAGCTAT